GAGAAGAATTGGAAAAAAGTGATAATCGATTATCCTGAGGAATAATCGATTATTCTAGAGCAAAATGTTTTTTCAAGAGTGCTCTTGATAATCGATATAGCTTCACATAATCGATTAAATGTGTAACTTAACTAAAGATATGAGATTTTCTAAGTATTACATATTCAAAGACTTTCCTAATACATTTATATTCTACAAAGTGCTTTTAAAACAATTTTAACAGCTTCTTCAAGTCTATCTTCTTGCAGCATCATCAAAATCAGTTATCTTCAAATTTACTAATGCTTCTCATTGGTAACACATGCATAATTCATATACAGTACATTCATTGATGTGTGTGATGAACATTTCTTGATTGGAATGAACACACTGTGTGAAAAACATTGTTTGCGCAATTTAACTATATAAATAATATAACTGATTAGACTTTTCTCAGTGTTTTCTATGTTTTTAGGATTCTGTGTTTTGTCATGATTTAATCGGTTAGGAAATTTATAGAATCAATTAGATTTTTCCACTGTCTTCTATGTGTGATTGAATATGTGAATTGCAATGACTTAATTTGTTAGATAAAATAGTTAATTGATTAAATTTGGGTAAGTTTGGGCTTTTCAAGTTTCCAAATAGGCTTCTTCCGAAGCTTAATCAACTAGGTTAACTGTTTAAATCGATTAATTTGTTCTTGCGTCGTACTCTCTTTGCAACTAAATCCAAAACCCTTTTTGAAAAGAGACTATCATCAAGATTCTTGCAAGAAAGTTGAGTTGAAACATTCTGATCATATTTGCACTGCTGGTGTACTACTCCGAGGATTAGATTCATCATTTGCAATCAAGTGGATTATGTTCTTGTGCAGGTTAGCCAGGAGGAGAGAATCGTGGTGTTGTTCATTGAGAGTTGGGATTACTCTCAAGGTGTTCATAAAGTTGGGATTGCTTTCTAGGTTGGTAAGATTGTGAGTGTGTTCACATCTTGTACTATAAGTGATATTGAGTGGGGAAGAAAAGTGCATTGAGAGGGGATATCTCTGTATTCTTGCCTGTATATTCTATTATTATAGTGGAATGCCTTCAACTAAGTAGCAAACATAGTTCATGGCCAGTCCTATGGATGATTTACAATTTATCTCCTATGTTGTGCATGAAGAGAAAATATATGATGTTGTCTATGATGATATCGGGTCCTAAACATCCTTGAAATGACATTTATGTGTATCTAAAACTGTTAATTGATGATTTGAAAATGTTGTGGGAATAGTGCGTTGAAGTCTTCAATTCATATTCAGAAGAAAACTTTTGTTCACGTGCAATGTTGTTTTACACCATAAATGATTTTCTAGCCTATGGAAACGTGAGTGGTTACAATGTTACCATAAGATTTTTGTGAAAGAAGAATATGTGAAGAAGATTGTCTTCCGGTCTAGATATGACCATTATGGGTATGTGATAATACCTTTTGGAGTAACTAATGCCCCAAGAGTATTCATGGATTACATGACAAAATCTTCCAACCATATTTAGATAAGTTTGTTATGGTGTTCATCGATGATATTCTTATTTATTTAAGAACTCATGAGGAACATAGTGAACATTTGAAGATAGTGTTGGAGATTTTGAGAGAAAAATAGTTACATGCAAAGTTGTCAAAGTGTGAGTTCTAGCCAGCAAAGGTGAAGTTTTTGGGACATGTAATATCTTTAAAAGGAGTATTTGTAGATCCCATAAAGGTGAACGTAGTTGGAGTGTGAAAGACTTCAAACAATAATAGAAGTAAGAAGTTTCTTGGGATTGGTTGGCTATTATAGGATATTCATTGAGGGATTTTCTAAAATAGTTGTTCCCTTGACACAATTGACCCAGAAGAACCAAGTTTTTGCTTAGAGAGAGGAATGCGAACACAGTTTTCAAGAGTTGAAAGGAAGGCTTACTAGTGCATCGATGTTAGTTTTACCAAATATTGGAAAACCTTTTGAAATGTATTTTCATGCCTCACACCAAGGGTTAGGATGTGTGCTTATGCAAGAAATGAGGGTAGTGGCATACACTTTTAGATAGTTAAAAGTTCATGAGAAGAATTATCCTACCCACGATCTAGAGTTGGCAGTCGTAGTTTTTTCTTTGAAGATATATAGACATTATTTATATGGAGCAACATTTGTGGTGTATAGTGATCATAAGAGTCTTAAGTATTTATTTGATCAAAGAGAGCTAAATATGAGACAAATGAGGTTGATGGAATTTTAAAAGACTATTACTTTCAATTGATGTATCACTTGGGTAAGGCAAATGTAGTAGATAATGCTTTGAATAAGAAAGCAATACATTATGATGACAAGCGAGATAGAAATAATTGAAAAACTTGGTTTGAAATTGGAGGTAGAGTTGCACAGTGATTATATGAGTTGTAGTCAAATGATTATGACAACTGACCTATTGAAGATGATAAAACATAGATAAATGGAGGATCCTTTTTTAAGACAAGTAATGGAACATATGAATTTAGATCAAAATGCAGAGATTATTTTGGGAAGCGGTGGTATTTTGTGGTTAAAAGAAATGGTTTGTGTACCTGTAGTAAAAAAAATTGAAGAAGTTAATCCATGAAGAATGACAAAAAAGCGGTCTTAGTATGCATCCCAACATGACTAAGATGCATCAAGATTTTAAGGAGATGTGTTGGTGGCCAAGGATAAAAAGAGATGTAGCTAAATTTTGGAAACTTGTTTAACATGTTAAAAGGCAAAAGTTGAACATCAAAGACCTAGGAGAATGTCGCAATAATTAGAAATTCCAAAGTGGAAATAAGATCTTTAGGAAGGAATGGAGACATCATGATGTTATTTGGACAATTGTTGACATATTGATAAAGAGTGTCAATTTTCTTCCTATGAATTAAGGATGTTAGTGACAAAGTTAGCACAATTATAGATCAGAGAAATAATATGACCGCATGAGATGCGTATAGTATAGTGTTGAATCGGGACCTCATATTTACATATAAGTTTTGACATATGTTATAAGAAGCTTTGGGGAGCAGCTTGAAGATAAGTTTAGCATACCACCCTTAAATCGATGGTCAATCATAAAGAACTATTCATTCATTAGCAGACTTGTTGAGGATGTGTGTTTTAAACCATCTGCATAATTGGGATAAGATGTTTCCTTTGAAAGAATTCACTTATAACAAAAGTTATCACGCCAGTGTAGGCATGGTGTCATATGAGACCTTGTATGGTAGAAGGTGTAGGACTCCATTATCTTGGTATCAAGATGGGGAGTCGTTCTTGGTGGGTCCAAAATTATTGCAACAAATGACAGAGAAAATAAAATTGATGCAAGAAAAAAAAATGAAAACTTCACTTAGCAAACAAAATTCATTTATAGATAGAAGGAAGATGTCGTCAGAGTTTGATATAAGAGATCATGTCTTCTTGAGAATGATTCCTACTATCGGTGTAGGAAAGATCAATCAAGTCTAAGAAACTTTCACTAAGATTTGTTGAATATTATCAAAGTTTGAGAAGAATTGGAACTCTAACTTATGAAATTGCATTACTTCCTTGACTTGCAATTATTAATATTGAAAAACAATGAAGAATTGTCTCTCACATCAAATAAATACAAAAAATAAATTAAAAAATATGTAAGAAAATCTTTTTTCTATATTTTTTATTACAATATTGAAATGACTAAAATTTTTTAAAAAGTTAAAAAAAACTGAATTTAAAAATATTAATAAAAAACAAAAAAAAAATATGAAAAATTTAATATAATAAAATATATAATTTTTGATGAAATTATTGGTCTTTCAATATAATATATAGTTTTCAATATTTAAAGGATATATATTTATTTATTTTCTAGAACCACCAATTTTGGGGTGGGTCCTTGTTTTGGTGTTAGGGAAGGAGGTTTATGGGAGAGATGCGAATGGAGAATGAAAAACAAAATGTTGAATACAATAAAATACCCATATTTGTTTTTGCTAGCTAATTAGCTACATCTTCTCTTGTTTGTTTGATTCTGTATATTCCACCCATAATTACCTTCTCCATACGGCAATGTTCTTCCACTCCGATTATTGGCGACACTTTTTGTTCCCACTCTATTGTGTTCACATCACAGTCACTAAACTAAGTTACTACATTCTCATGTTTTGCATTCACAACCATTTTCTACCCATATGACTAGTTGGCTTACTTTTAGATGAAAAAAAATATATATATTTTAGAGTAATGGGATGACGTGTAAAAGAAAGAAGAGAGATCAAAATCAATAGTTAGCAAATAATATTTTCAAAGTTATGATTTTTTAAGTGTGTTCAACAACGTCACGTTATTCGTTTAGTTAATTTTAAGTTGTGTTAAATGATTTGTGTTTAAAGGTTTGTTTGGAAAATTCTCTATTAAAGGCACTTGAAACAAAAAAAATGAAGAAAATACATAAGTTTTTTCTCTTGAGATAAATTAATTTATGTTTAAACTAAAAAAACATCTTTTAGACAAGTTAATGCAATAATAAAAATACCCTGTAGCAAAAAAGTTCATAAAAAAAAAAAAAACATGCTCCCCTATATGTCCTATACACATGTTTACTTGGCTGGAACCGAAGTAACCCATTACAATTTATATATGTTCATCACAGAGTTCAAAGGCTCATGCATGCATAGCACTTCCTAAGAAGATAGAAAAACTGCAAAAGAGTGTAGCATCCACAGCTGATTCCGTCCATTTTTACAGCACATTCTAGAAATGGACAAATCTACCTTACACAAAAATAGAAAGAGAATTAAATAACTCCATTCAAAATGATTGGTATTATTCTTATTTGTTTCAAAATGATAAGTTTACATATATAAAGCACCAATCATTTTAGGTGGAACTGTTCAATCTCATCTTTTGGTAAGTTAGAGAAACCTTTGAGAAAGACATACATTACATTTGATGAGATGTGAGAATGATCTAAAGTTATTCTCTCCATGGTACATAAACTAGGAAAATGCAAAATCTAAAATATTCAATCTGATCAATGCATGGTTAAGATTCCACAAGGTAACTAAAGCAATTGGCTTTCACCAAAGGGGAAGCTAATGATGAGAAAACGCATCAAAATTCATGTCCAAACTCCGAGAGCAAGTACATGAATGCAGATGATATTTTCAAGTCAGGCTTGTCACTGGACAGTTCAAAATCCTTCAAATCAGACCACAGGTTGGCATCTGAAAGATCACTGGGATCAGTCTCATCATTGAGACATTCTTGTTTAACAATTGGGCTTTGTGATCTCACAGGAGGATCGAGTTGTTTTTGTTCATTTGGAACATTTAAATCTTCGTGGGAATTCTCAAGAAATGAGTCCCAAGTTTCAGAACATGTGACCATTTGTGGAGCCTTGAGGGTGTCTTTGCATGTGTGAAACCCAATGTACGTAATATTGTACATATCAGGATTCTCTTCTAACCGTTGCACTTGTTTGGTGGCCTTGCAACCTTGTTCAAACTTCCTAGTGCATCTGAAGTAACTCCTGAGAATTATTTATCAATAAATGTGTTATAATTAGAAGACAATAAGTTTGTGTAACAAAAATACACTTCAACTATTCACATGAAAATTTAAACACTAGTAAGTTTGAGTGTCCTAAGTAGTAGTCTGAGTGTATAGCAAAGTTTCCTCATTCGGGTTTCTGCATTAATATCCTATAGTTGCGTGATTGAGTTCAGTTTCTACAAACACAGAAAAGAATGTACTTCTAGCATTCCCAATTAAGGTGTTTTTTCAAGAAGATATGATATTTCTACACAGATCACTGTCATGCTTAACTAAAAGATGAAAGGAATCAAAAATAGAAAAAGAAAATGAATAGTGATGCAATCTTTGCTCGAATTGAACAAGTGAATATCTTTGCCTGGTTCACACGGAAGGAGGAAAAATTACTGTGCAAAACAATGATTACCTGGGAAACTGAGAATTTAGAATATCCTTTTGTCCGTACTTTCTCCACGCATGATCATCTACAGTAGTTTGGGAAACTATAGCCCATGTCTGTTCAGTCTTCCTGCGCACCAATTTAAGAAATGCCACGCATGTTATTTCGTGTAATAATACAACATTATTGTGAATAAAAATATCTGAAGAAAAATAGCCATTCCATATATATATATATATATATAAGCCTTTTTTTCTGTAAATATGCAGGTAAGTATATAAGAAAAAAAAAATTATGTGAAATAATTGTACTGTTCCATGTGATCATGTCAAGGCAGGCCACTCCACTAAGCTAAAAAACTAAAGGAACCCACTTGAAGCACACAGTAATCAAATCAAAGAATGAGAACTAAAATATTCCAAAACTCCAATAGTTAACTTAACCTCAAAGCTTTAGTTTTCTATTTTTTTTTTTTTTCATCAAGAAAGAGTAGCTTTACTCATATGGACAATAGGACTATAAGAAGAACTCCGTCCGTACACATCCCAATTCACCAAATCCTCTCAGCACCCCCTCCCCAACCCCAATCACTGACAAAACAGGCTTTCTTGACTGAGAAAGTAACACAGCAACATCCAAAGTATAATTCATCATGGATAAGCTTTCTGTAAGGTTTAGTATATAAAAGATTTAAAAAAAAAGAAGAACTTTTTAGTAAACTAAAATTAGTTGGTGAACAAATCAAAATCAGTCTGTTATAAAGAATTAAAAATCTGTAGAAAGAGGTAAAATAGATCACAGAAGGGAAATGAGAAAGAGTGAAGTAAGACCTTCGTTTGTAGGAACCTCTGCGATCCTTTGAGAGGGGAAACGATCTCTTTCTACTCTCAGATGAATCGTCAGACCTGGGATCAATGCTTGCAGCCTGCGAGGCATCTTCCCCAGAAATGAGGAGATTCTGAGCAAGCTGGTCTTGAGGCATTGCAGGGTGGGAAGAAGTCAAGATAGAGAGAGTTTGAGCGAAAGATCTGTGCACATTGGTGAGCAGTTCCTTAGCTGCAGCAGAGGCATCTGGGTCAACAGGTTTCTGAAGCAGAAACTTGAGCTGAGTGGCATAGTCGAGACCGAGAAGAAGCTCTGTGATGAGGGTGTTGTTCATGGTAGTGGGTGTGTAGTTGGTGGCTAAGGATGTATTGATATATAGTTTAGAAGAAATTGAAGATTAGGGGAATGAATAGTGGGTATGGAGAGAAGGAAGAAAGAGGTGGGTTTTTGCGAGGAAAGAGAGATAGCAGTGAATGGAAAACGTTGAGAAGGGAGGGATGATGTTGAACCATCATGGAAGAGAAAATTTGTCCACAGGTAATAACTTTGCTTACAAACCTAAACATGACGTTGCTCTTCTGATGCAAGCCTGACGCTGCATTATTTTCTTTCTTTTTTCTTTTCCTTCAAAATTACAACTTTCCCCACTTGCACCTCACTACTCTTTATTTTTCTTAATTTAAAAAGAAAAAGGTCACTCTTTGTACTACACAACCACGCTGCTCCTTTTAATGCTTCTTAAATTTTCAATATGTGTTGTTTTCTGGGTTCTCCTTTGTAAAAGTAACAATGTTTTTACCTATATTATCAGATCAAGAAATAATAACAACCTCCATAATATTATTATATAGATAAAAATATAAGCTTTTGGGGAAGCAAATACACAACTATAGTTTTAAATTTTATAAACTTTTTTTACTGATTATTATTATTTTTTTTAGAGAATTAAATATATTTTTAGTTTAAAATTACAATTAGTTTTCATCAAAAAGTTTGATATATTTTTGATTTTCTAATTTAAAAAATAAATAGGTATTGTATTTTTAATGTAATGATGTTAATTTTTTTTATATATCAATAACATTTTTTTAACTTATATTAAAACATAAACATATTAAATATGTAAATGATTTAAATACTGTCATAAAATACATTTAACACGTATTAAAAATATAATGTAATTGAATTAAAATAATTATATTTATTTATTTTTAAACTTTGAAAATTAAATATATCAAAAATTTTACATAGATACCAATTTTAATTTGCATAAAAGTTTAGGAATAAAAATCTTTTTCTTTTAGATAAGGTATATTTTTTTAACATGCTACCATTATACTTTGAAAATAAATCAACTCTTGGAGTTAAGGTGATTAAGTGGATTTTAATTTATTAAAAAATAATAATAATTTCATTAAATCTTTAGATAATTTTCTTGCCTCAGAAACTATTGATAGTATCTCACAAATTTATGAACTAATTTATTCGAAGTATAGATATATTAACGGATAAAAAAGGTCTTAAATGTTATGTTTGTCTTATTACCATGATTTATGTCTAACGAAATTTGAAAAGATATAGTGCACAATAACCGAACAAGGGTTTATCTGTGAAATATTATATAAAAGTGTATTTTATTAATATCTATCCCATACTCCAACTTTTGATGATTTTTATTCTTTATTTTATTTTATTTTTATTTTTTTTTTGCAATCTAAAATCCAAAAAATACCATCTTCAAATAAGTTAAAAGAAAAAGTATGAATTAAAATTATGAGACCCGAGAAATAGATTAAAAGAATGAAGATGTTTTATATGATGAATACTTTAATATTTTATTATTAAAGAAGGAAAGTATGATATAACTTTGTAATAATAAATTTACTTTTATAAATATTTATGCTTTTATAATATTTATTCTTTTTCTAAGATTATGACGTTATTTTTATTTTCTTTGAAATTCAACCCGTCTTGATGTCATGATGGCAAGGAAACAACCATTTTTAATTGATAGTTACTTTGGTAGAAAATTTTAATTTCAATTCCTATTTTAGAATTATTTGTGCTGGGATGCATGTGAACATTGGTTTGCATTGTAGAGAGTTCTTAGGAACCATGTTCTTATTGATACTAAAGGATGTGTGGATCATAATCTAAAATGTTTTTGATGTTTTTAGAGTATTTGGAGCGTAGAAATTAAGGACAAAATTTGTTGAAAGTTTTAATAAAGTTACGAAAATAGTATTGATTTATGATGATATAACTGTTTGAATTACAAATTATGATTGATTTGATTGTGTGATGACTTTGTTTGCATTTGTTGGAATTATATGTTTAGTATAGGTGAGATTGATTGAATTTGAGGTATAGGAGATTTATGTTGTCTTTGAGTGCAACATCCTATTTTTTTATAGTGTTTAACTACTATAAGATATATTTCACATTCTTGATATTACACAACACAGTTAGCTCGAAGAAAACATATAAATTTTCATTACAATTATCCATAAATAATTTAAAATAGAAAAATTCATATGTAGACCCATACATACTATAAGAATAAATATTATACTGAAACAAAAGAAAACTTTTAGAACAGAAGGAAAGGTTGGAACGTCTTACTCTAAGCTTCAGCTCCGTTACAACTAGCACTTGCTCTTCGGTGAGACCACCTAAGCTCACAACATTATTGTGGTGTACGAACATATGAAATGTTTATGTTTTCTGCTTCCACGATTTTAATAAAAAAAAAATTGGACAAGAACGTTTTATACAATTCGTACTCTACGATTCTCTTTTTAATGTGACATTCCAATAGGGGGTTGTTACAACAAACAAATTTTCTCCAATAGCACATGGAATTGGTACACCTTTATCTTTTAGATGATATAGCGAAAAGAACTCTTGAGGACTTCTTTGCAGTGTCCTAGTGATTTTGACTTGTTATTAGATTTGTCTAATCAAATTTTTTAGTGAAAAAGACTAGGATTTGTGTTTATTGTTGATGTGGAATATGAGAAATTATCTCCATTTTTGTTCAAATTGAAAAATGATTAGTCATAATTTATCTAATTATAGACAATTACAACAAGATACCAAAGTTATTTTTGGTGGAGAAAAAATTAATTGAGGCAAAAATAACAACATTATGGTCCTAATGTGGTTAATTCATAGGATGCGGTTAAGGAATCTTTAGCTCAAGTAGTGTACCTATGGTGGAGCATGTGTTGGTGGAGCTGGGGTGGAGCCTATGGTAGAGTTTGCTTTGATGGTTGCACATGTTATGGTACAAATTGCGGGGGGGAAGGGGGGGGGGGGGGGGGGGGGGAGGTCGGGGGGGGGGGGGTGGGTGGGAGAGAGGAGGGGTGGGGGGGTGGGTGGGGTCGGGGGGGGGGGTGGGCAGGAGGGGGGAGGGGGGGGGGGGGGCGGAGGGGGGGGGGGGGGTCGGGGGGGGGAGCAGGAGGGGTGGAGGGGCGGGGGGGGGGGGTGGAAGGGGAAGGGGGAGGGGGTTGGGTGGGGGGGGTGGGGGGTGGGTGGGGTGTGGGGGGGGGGGGGAGGAGAGGAGAGGTGGGGGGGAGAGGGTGGGGGAGGGGGGGGGGGGGCGGGGGGGGTGCAGGGATTGAGGAGGGGGGGGTAGGAGGAGGGGGTTGGGGGGAGGGTGAGGGGGTGTGGGGGGTGGGGAGGAGGGAGGCGGAAAGGGGGGTAGGGGGGGGGTTGGGGGGGAGTGCGTGGGGTGGGGGGGGGTGTAGGGGGGGGGGGTGGGGGGGAGAGTGCGGGGAGGGGGTGGGGGGGGGGGGGACGAGGGGGTGGGAGGGGGGTCGGTGGGGGGAGTGGGGGGGGGGAGGAAGGGGGGGGGGGGGGGGTGGGGGGGGGGGGTGGAGGGGTGGGGGGGGTGGGGGCAAGGAGGGGGAGGGGGGGCGGGACGGGTGGGGGGGGGGCGGGGGGGGGTGCGGGGGGGGAGAGGTGGATGGGGGGTGGGGGGCGGTTGGGTGGGGTGGGGGGGGAGTATGGCCGGGGGGGAAGGATGGGAGAAGAGGGGGGGGAGTGGGGCGGGTGGTGGGGGGAGGGGGAATGTGGGGGGAGGCGGGGTTGTGATGGAGTGGTGGTGCATGAGGTCGATGGGGGGGAGGGTGGCGGGGGGGGAGGGGGGGGGGGGGGGGTAGGAGGGGTGGTGGGAGGAGGAGGGTGGGGAGGGGGGAGGGGGGGGGGGGGGTGGGGGGAGGGGCGGGGGGTAGGTGGTGGGGGGGCGGGGGATGGGGGTAGGGGGGGGGAGGGGGGAGGAGGTGGGGGGGGAGGGGGGGGGGGGGATGCGGGGGGGGCGCGGGGGGGGTGAGAGGGGGGTGGGGGGGGGGGGAGTCGGGGGGGGCGGATGGAGGGGGGGGTGGGGGAGGGGGGGATTTTAGCTATTTGGGGGTGTTAGGGGGTGGGGTGAGGGTAGGGGTGGGAGTGGGTGGGGTTGGTGGGGGGTGGGGTGGGGCGGGTGGGGGGGGAGGGATGTGGGGGGGGAGAGGGGAGGGGAGGGGGGTAGTGGGGGTAGATGGTAGGTGGGGGGGTGGGGATGTGGGGTGCATGGGGGGTGGGTGGGGGGGGGGAAGGGGGGGGAGGGCGGGGGAGGTGTGGAGGGGGGGGGGGGGGGAGGGGGGGGGAGCCGGGGGGGAGAGCGGGGGTGGACGTGAGGGGGGGGGGGTGGCTGGGGGAGGGGGGGGGAGGGGGGGGGGGGGCAGGGTCGCGTAGGGGCGGGGGGGGGGGGGTGGGGGGGAGGAGGGGGGGGGAGAGGGGGGGGGGAGGGGAGGTGGGGGGAGTTAGAGGGGGGTGGGGGGAGGGGGGAGGGGCATGGTGGGCAGGGGGGGGGGGGGAAGGGGGGGGGGGGGGTGGGGGGGGGGGGGAGGGTGCAGGAGGGGGGATGGGGGTACGGGGGGAGAGGGAGGGTAGGGTGGGGTGGGGGGGTGATGGGCGGGAGGGGGGGACGGGAGGGAAGTGTGTGGGGGGGGTGGGGGGGGGGGGGTGGAGGGGGGAGGGGGGTGGGGTGGGGTGGGGGGGGTGGGGGAGTGGGGGGGGGGGGGGGCTGGATGGGGGGCGGGTTGGGTGGGGAGGGGGGTGCGGGAGGGTGGGGGGGGGGGTCGGGGGGGGTGGGGGCGGGGGGGGGGGGGGTTGGGGGGAGGGGGGGTCAGGGGGGGGGGATGGTTGGGGTGATGGGGGGGGGGGGGGGAGGGAGGGGGAAGAAGGTGGGGGGGATGCCGGGGGGGGGCAGGGATGGGAGGAGAACGGTGGTGGGCGGGGGGGGTGGAGGGCGGGGGTGGGGGGAGTAAGGGGGAGGGGAGGTAAGGAGTGGAGGGGGGGGGGGGGGGGGGGGTGTGGGAGCGGGGGGGGAAGGGGGAGAGGTCGTGGGGGGGGGAAGGGGGGAGGGAGATGGAGGGGGGGGGGGGAGGGGTGTGGGGTGAGGAGCGGGGTGGTAGGGTGGGGGAGGGGTGGGGGATGGAATGGGGGGGGGGGGGG